TGCCTCCCAGGTTCAAGCGATTCTCCTGCCTCAGCCTCCCAAGTAGCGGGGATTACAGGCACCTGCCAACACGTCCGACTAATTTTTTTGCATTTTTAGTAGAGACAGGGTTTTGCTATGTTGGCCAGGGTGGTCTCGAACTCCTGACCTCAGGTAATATGCCCACTTCAACATCCCAAAGTGCTGGGATTACAGGCGCGAGCCACTGCGCCCGACCTATAATTATTATTATTGTTGTTTTTTTTCTTTCTTTTTTGAGACGGCGTCTCTGTCTCCCAGGACGGAGTGCAGTGGCGTGATATTGGCTCATTGCAAATTCTGCCTCCTGGGTTCAAGCGATTCTCCTGCCTCAGCCTCCTGAGTAGCTGGGATTACAGGCGTGTGCTACCATGCCTGGCTAATTTTTATATTTTTAGTAGAGACGAGGTTTCACCATGTTGGTCAGGCTGGTCTCAAACTCCTGACCTCGTGATCTGACCGCCCTGGCCTCCCAAAGTGCTGGGATTACTGGTGTGAGCCACCACATCCGGCCTATTATTATTTTTTGAGAGGCAGTTTCACTCTGTCACCCAGGCTGGAGTGCAGTGGCACAATCTCAGCTCAGTGCAACCTCTGCCTCCCAGGTTCAAGCGTTTCTCCTGCCTCAGCCTCCCAAGTAGCTGGGATTACAGGCACGTGCCACCACACCCAGCTAATTTTTATATTTTTAGTAGAGATGGGGTTTTACCATGTTGACCAGGCTGGTCTGGAACTCGTGACCTCAGGTGATTTGCCTGCCTCAGCCTCCCAAAGTGCTGGGATTACAGGTGTGAGTCACCACACGTGGCCTTGCACCTGCTTTTAATAAATATTACTTGGATAACTGATAAGGGAGGCACAGATAACTCACTTTCCTAGGGTTTTTGTTTTGTTCTTTTTTTTTTTCTCTCTTCTTTATTGTGTTTTAAGATGTTTTTACTGTCTATGGACTTACAGAATCCAGGATGCTTTATTGAGTCAAAGATTATAACAGGTTTGCATTTGCAACCGAAAGAAAAGCAGCAACTGCCCAAGTACAGTCATGTGCCACATAATGTTTCAGTCAACAATGAACCACATATTCAGAGGTGGTTCCATAAGATTATTGTATCTTTTCTTGTTTACACACATATGTACTTACCACTGTGTTACAACTGCCTACAGTATTCAGCAGAATAACATGCTATACAGGTTTGTGGCCTGGGAGCAATATGTTATACCGTATAGCCTAGGTATGCTGTAGGCTAAACCATCAAGGTTTATCCAAGTGCTTTCTACATTTACACAATGATGAAATCGTTTAATGATAACATTTCACAGAATGTATCACCATGAGATGATATATGACTATTCTACTGAATACCAGAAGGTAACTGAATTCTAACAGGAGTTTTAAATTATTTCTATACTTTACAAATTTTACTTATTTTATTTTTTTGGGACAGAGTCTCTCTCTGACACGCAGTCTGTCATCTCGGCTCGCTGCAACCTCCGCTTTCTGGGTTCAAGCGATTCTCCTGCCTCAGCCTCCCGAGTAGCTGAGATTACAGACACCCGCCACCATGCCTGACTAGTTTTTGTATTTTTAGTAGAGATGTGGTTTCACCATGTTGGCCAGACTGGTCTCGACTCCTGACCTGAGGTGATCCCCCCGCCTCGGCCTCCCAAAGTGCTGGGATTACAGGCGTGAGCCACCACGCCCGGCCCATACTTCCCAAATTTTAAGAAGTTACAAAGAGTTGATCAGCAGAACCAAAACACGTTTATAGATCAAATCCCATTATATGTTCCCAGGATGAATGGTTCCATTCATAGCAGAATGGAATTTTGTTCTATGAGCTGTAACTTAAAATAATGGGTCAAATACTGACTTAGCAATCTTGAGGTTTTTGATGTAGTTGTACTGTGATATTTGTTGTAATGGAGAATTACTGGTATTTCTAGTTTTTAGACATTGGTTGGCATATCTTATCTTTTTTTTACTAAACTGGAAAATCCCTAAAGGTCTAGCTTTCAGATAAATCCCAAGCTTTCTACTTGGGTAGTAATGCTGTTAGGACACATGACTAATTAAGAGGGTCTATTCGCTTTGCTTAGTTCCACTTACAGCACAAAATGCATCCTGATCTATAGCCATCCATCTAATGACTATATGCTGCTACTCACAATGGATAACAATAGAATAAAGTGCAGATGCAAATCCACCAGAAAATGAGGAAAAAATTAAAGCCTCTACTTTCTGGATGCTGTAACACAAGTGCCAACCTCAGGCAGAAACGTCAGCACATACGTTTCAGACTCCTTACTGCAAGTGCTTCAGGGTTTGCTCCACTAATGCCTAGGTGACTTAACAAATTTTCAGTCACATTTAGCAAATATTAATGGCACATAAAAAGAACGAAAGGGACAGACTCGATATTACAATATGGGGTAGTTTGTGTGTCTGGCCACATAAATTCCTACATACCTCTCCAGCACCACTCACCTGGAGAAGTGGATATGGATGCCAGCTACTGTTTTTTCTCCCTTCCCAAACAGATACAGCTTGGCCTACAGCTGCACTGCCCCATACCAAGGAGACTTCACCTGACACCTAACTCCTGACAGGGCTCTGCATCCTTACATCAGTAACAGAAGCTGGTTGGGGATGAAAAATTGTTAACTGCAACTTCTGAAAACCTTTTCAGAAATAAACTTTTCCTCTATTCCAAATCTCAAGGTCTTTCAACTAGCCTACCGTAGAG